TCCCTCCTTCCCTCTCCCTCCCTCCTTCCCTCACCTACCCCCCTCCTTCCCTCACCTACCTCCCTCACTCCCTCACCTCCCTCTCCTACCTCCCTCCTTCCCTCACCCTCCCCTCCTTCCCTCACCTACCCCCTCCTTCTCACCTACCTCCCTCCTTCCCTCACCCCCTCCTTCCCTCACCTACCTCCTCCTTCCCTCCCTTACCTCCCTCCTTCCCTCCCCTCCCTCCCTCCTTCCCTCACCTACCTCCCTCCTTCCCTCACCCTACCTCCTCCTTCCCTCACCTACCTCCCTCCTTCCCCTCACCCCACCTCCCCTCACTCCCTCACCTACCTCCCTCCTTCCTCCTACACCTCCCCTCCCCTCACCTACCTCCCTCCTTCCCTCACCTCCTCCTTCCCTCCCTTCCTCCCTCACTCCCCTCCCCTACCTCCCTCCTTCCCTCACCTCCCTCCTTCCCTCCTTACCTCCCTCACTCCCCTCCCTCCTCCTTCCCTCCTTGCCTCCTCCTTCCCTCACCCTCCTCCTTCCCTCACCCTCCTCCTTCTCCTACCTCCCTCCTTCCCTCACTTACCTCCCTCCTCCCTCACCTACCTCCCTCCTTCCCCTCCTTACCTCCTCTTCCTTCACCTACCTCCTCCTCCCTCCTACCTCCCTCCTTCCTCCACTTACCTCCTCTCCCTCTTACCTCCCTCCTCCCTCACCTGCCTCCTCCTTCCCCTCACCCCTCCCTCCTCCCTCCCACCTACCTCCCTCCTTCCTCCTTACCTCCCTCCCTCCCTCTTACCCCCCCCTCCTTCCCTCACCCCACCTCCTCCCTCACCTCCACCTTCCCCTCACCTCCCTCCTTCTCCCACCTACCTCCCTCCTTCCCTCCCCTACCTCCCTCCTTCCCTCCTTACCTCCCCTCCTCCCTCCCTACCTCCCTCCTTCCCTCACCTCCCTCCTTCCCTCACCTCCTCCCTCCTCCTCCTTCCCTCCTACCTCCCCTCCCTCACCTACTCCTCTCTCCCCTCCCTTACCTCCCTCCCTTCCTCACTTCCTCCCTCCTTCCCTCCTACCTCCTCCTTCCCTCACCTACCTCCCTCCTTCCTCACCTACCTCCTCCTCCTCACCTACTCCTCCTTCCCTCACCTACCTCCTCCTTCCCTCTTACCTCCCTCCTCCTCCCTTACCTCCCTCCTTCCCTCCACCTCCTCCTCACCTACCTCCCCTCCCTTCCCTCCCTTACCTCCCTCCTTCCCTCACCCACCTCCCTCCTTCCCTCACCATCCCTCCTTCCCTCACTTACCTCCCCTCCTTCCCTCACTTACCTCCCTCCTTCCCTCACCCTACCTCCTCCTTCCTCACTCTACCTCCCTCCTTCCTCACTTACCTCCCTCCTCCCCCCACCTACCTCCCTCCTTCCCCTCACTTACCTCCTCCCTTCCCTCACTCCCTACCTCCCTCCTTCCTCACCTACCTCCCTCCTTCCCCTCACCTACCTCCCTCCCTTCCCCTCACTTACCTCCCTCCTTCCCTCACCTTACCACCTCCTCTTCTCCCTCACCTACCTCCCTCCTCCCTCACTTACCTCCTTCCCCCCACTCCCCACTCCTCCCTCACCTACCTCCCTCCTTCCCTCACCTACCTCCCTCCCTTCCCTCACCCACCCCTCCTTCCCCCCACTTACCTCCCTCCTTCCCTCACCTCCCTCCTCCCACCCTACCTCCCTCCTTCCCCTCACCACCCTCCTTCCCCTCCTCACCTCCCTCCTTCCTCACCTACCCCCTCCTTCCCTCACCTACCTCCCTCCTTCCCTCACCTACCTCACTCCTTCCCCCACTCCACCTCCCCTCCTTCCCTCACTTACCTCCTCCTTCCCTCACCTACTCCCTCCTTCCCTCACCCACCTCCCTCCTTCCCTCACTTCACCTCCCCTTCCCCACCCACCCTCCTCCTTACCTACCCCCTCCTTCCCCTCACTCTACCTCCCCCTCACTCCCTCACTTACCTCCTTCCCTCCCCACAAACACCATGAGACGCCAGACACCCATTCAGAGAGAAAACAGAAGATAACAGAAAAAACACAAACAAAAAGTTAGACAGCTGTTAGACAGATGTTAGACAGATATTAGATAGATAGACAGAGGTTAGACAGATGTTAGACAGATAGACAGAGGTTAGACATGTTAGACAGAAGTAAGACAGGGGTTAGACAGAAGTAAGACAGAGGTTAGACAGAGGTTGGGACAGATGTTGAAGAACGGAAGAGTCGTAGTGACATGACATAATGCTGTGGGTGAGGGCGGGAGAGGGAGGAGGAGACGAGAGGGAGGAGGGTGATGAGAGGAAAGGAATGAGAGGAGGGAAAGAATGAGAGGGAGGGAAAGGGAATGAGAGGGAGAGTAAAGGAGTGAGAGAGAGTAAGAGATGGCGGTTTTGATGGAGTAACAAGGCTGACCAACAGGCGAGTCAGACACGTATGTCACTTTAGCCCTCACCGTTCATTCTAGATGGGACTATATGTGGGCGGGGCTTCGAGTCGCTCCTTCTATTGGTTATTACATTAGCCGACTCCGCCCATTCTCCCACCCTCCCTATATGACCTAAAACTCTCCCCCCCCCCCTGTTAAGCCTGTCCGCCCCCCCACTCCTCCTTCCCACACTCTCCCTACCCTCCTCCCTCCCTCCCTCCCTCCTTTTACGCAACAGACTCAACTACCAAAATCCCTCCACTCAACATCACCACATCACCACCACAACACCACAGCACCAACAACACCACTAAACACTTAACATAACCACATCACCACAGCATCACCACAACACCACTAAACACTTAACATCACCACATCACCTCAACATCACCACAACATCATCACCACAACACCACTAAACACTCAACACCACATCACCACAGCATCACCACAACACCACTAAACACTTAACATCACCACATCACCAACATCAACCAAACAGCATCACCACAACACCACTAAACACTCCAACATCACCACATCACCACCACAACACCACAGCACCACCACAACACCACTAAACACTTAACATCACCACATCACCTCAACATCACCACAACATCATCACCAACACCACTAAACACTCAACATCACCACATCACCACAGCATCACCACAACACCACTAAACACTCAACATCACCACAACATCACCACATCACAGCATCACCACAACACCACTAAACACTAACATCACCCACATCACCACCACAACACCACAGCATCACCACAACACCACTAAACACATTAAACATCACCACAACATCACCTCAACATCACAGCATCACCACAACACCACTAAAACACCAACATCACCACATCACCACCACAACACCACAGCATCACCACAACACCACTAAACCTCAACATCACCACATCACCAACATCACCACAACATCATCACCACAACAACACCACTAAACACCAACATCACCACCACCACAACACCACAGCATCACCACAACACCACTAAACACTTAACACCACATCACCATCCAGCATCACCACAACACCACTAAACACTCAACACCACATCACCTCAACATCACCACAACATCACCACAACACCACTAAACACACATCACCACCACAACACCACACAGCATCACCACAACACCACTAAAGTCACTAACATCACCACATCACCACAGCATCACCACACAACACCACTAAACACTTAACATCACCACAACATCACCTCAACATCAAGCAGCATCACCACAACACCACTAAACACTCAACATCACCCACATCACCACCACAATTCACAGCATCACCACAACACCACTAAACATTAAACATCACCACAACATCACCTCAACATCACAGCATCACCACAACACCACTAAACACTCAACATCACCACATCACCTCAACATCACCATAACATCATCACCACAACACCACTAAACACTCAACATCACCACATCACCACAGCATCACCACAACACCACAGCATCACCACAACACCACTAAACACTAAACATCACCACAACATCACCTCAACATCACCACATTACCACAGCATCACCACAACACCACTAAACACTCAACATCACCTCAACATCATCACAACATCATCACCACAACACCACTAAACACTCAACATCACCACATCACCACCACAACATCACCTCAACATCACCACATTACCACAGCATCACCACAACACCACTAAACACTCAACATCACCTCAACATCATCACAACATCATCACCACAACACCACTAAACACTCAACATCACCACATCACAACATCATCACCACAACACCACTAAACACTCAACCTCACCACAACATCACCACATCACCTCTAGCACCAAACACTCCTACGACACCACCGGCACCATACAGGGGCACACACACACACACACACTTCATGACATTCTTGAAGTCCATTCCAGTTTTTGCACTACTAGTCGAGGTGACAGGAAAACGCCCCCTCCTGCTGATTAGACCACCGGTCCACTAACCACCACTGACACCTAGAATTGTTGAAGACGACAAGGCCAGTCACCAGTTACCTAACCTAACCAGCTTCTACCTTGGTAACGGCAGAGGTTTAATAGTATCCTGTTAACTTACCATCTATTACAATGGTATGGTAACACCTGTCAATAATTGCAAAAAATAATTAAATGTTGCCAGGTAAGAATTTAAAGGTTTTTGCCGTAAGATTTTTGAGTGACATTTGGCAAGGTGATGTTTACGTGGACAGATGAATGTGATAAAGATGGAATAACACAACTAAGGCAATAAAGGGGGTACAGATCTAACACAATCTTTACTCTTGTGTCACATAGAAGGAAAATAACACTCCAGAAAATAAATATATTTATATTTATTAAGAAAATATACAACATTTACTGTACATTAAATGCTTTCTTGGCAGATTATGGTAATGACTTATATAACAATACTAGACAGATTATAGTGATGACTTGTATAACACCTGGTCACTGTTCTGCCTCAGGTAAATATATTGCACAGTATCAGTCGTCAGTGTTAATTTGCTCAGCAGTGCTCCTAGATCAGTCTCTTATACTATAGAAACTTAAGTGATGTTTGTTATTCTTTCCATTTAAGTGAACAGTTATCACCATTGTGTTCTGTAATTTGCCAGTGTCTCTTCTTGGCAAGTTTTTGTTTCGTTAATCACAACCTACTGTGATGCCTCCTTCAGTAGTGGTCCATATTATTGTACTATTTTAAGCTTTATGGTAAAGTAATGGCTGAACGTAACTAATGGGTGGACGGGAGAGGCACTATAGCTAACAACTGTAGTCATATCGAGGAAAGCCGGTCGTGGACGCCTGGTGTGACTTAAAGACTTTGACGACAAACTTTATTGACAGTCTTGAGAGACCTTCATGACAGTCCAAGTCTACAAACACAGTCTTTGAGAAACGAGCTGGAGCCGCGTGTGAAAGACCTATTTCACCCGTACCATGACTAAGTTCAACCCTGTGACATCACATGAAAAAAAAACACCTTCACGGTTTCACGAGCGAGGTTTGCCTCTGTTGGTACCAAGGAGGAGAAACAAGAAGGCGAGTAATCTGTAGCCGACGATGAGAAGGGCGAGGCAAGTTAGGTTGAAGGCAAAATGGTCTTCAGAGAATCCTAAGCGCTGGATGACTGCCTCGCCGTCAAGGTAACAGCTAGCCGACACCGTACACGTCAAGTTGTTCACTCCCGACCACTGGTTCACCACCAACAACTCGTTGCCATAGCTGAACCATGATAAGTACTGGAAAGTCTTCATGAACACTGGGGTCGACCTGCCGGGGAGAGACAAAGTGATGCGGTAAATGACAGTATCGAAGTGTAAGGAGACCTAGCTACCTGAACCAACTCAAGATACGATGCAGTTATGACTCAACAGAGTCGTCACCCTCACACTGTATAACCCCTTAAGGACGATGCTTTAAGTTTTAACCCATTAAGGACAATGGTTTAAGATACAACAATGAAGGAATTAAACCTTCGTCTTCAATGAGTGACGAATACTGTCAGTCATCAATCATCTATATATCATTTACCTTTACAAGAAAGAACACCAACACCACCAACACTAACCACACCACCAACAACACCACCAACACTAACCACACCACCACCAACACCACCAACATCACCAACACTAACCACACCACCAACAACACCACCAACACTAACAACAGCGGATTAATTTTGTGCATTTACCTGTCCACAGAGAAATAAATCCATATGGAAATAAATCCTTGTCTTTCAGATTTTGGTTAAGTGATTTGCAGAGCACAGTGTATCGGCCTCTGAGATGTGTAGCCCCTGTGGACAACACTGTGACACTTGTAAATATTTACTATAATTCTAGAGGTGAGGTGAGGTCTGGTCTGGTCTGGGGCCGTGAAATAGTGGATCCTAATGTTAACAAGCCAGCCTTCTGTAAAATAAGAGAGAGAGAGGGGGGGTTACCTGACGTTGATGAAGAAGCCGCTGAAGATGAGGAGAGGTAGTGTACAGGGAGCCAGCAGCGCCAGGGCCACGTTGTCACTGGGTGCCAGACACGACAACAGGTAACCTGGTGGGGAGACACACAGACATACCTTCATTAGGGTATTTTGACCCCTTTGAGGACGATGACTGGCGTTTAACATTAATATCGGTGGTGGCATCAGTTATGAAAGCTTTTTAGAGAAAGAGAGATAACAACTCCATTAAACTGTTATGTTAAATTAATTCCTCCATTGGACTTACCGAAAGACACAGCACACCAGGTTACCATGACGGCAACCATCGCACACAGAAGGAAGCGCTCAAGGCTGGGGTTGAGGCCAATGAGAAAGTAGATGATGGTGGTGTAGATTATGGCGTAGACGGTGAAGAACGGCGTCTCCACCAGGTTCTTGGCTAGGAAGTACACGTCAACGCGGTACATCCCGTTGTGATGCTCCCTCTTAAACAACTCTTTCTGAGAGCAGAACGTCTGGAACCACCAGAGTTTGGACTAAGTCACACACACCCACACACACGCTCTGTTGTTTTAGCTGACAAGTTTACAAATGTTCGCATATTTGCTTAAATAATGAGATTATTATATTAACGAATTGGCAACTCAGCTACAGCCAGGGCTGCCTCAAGATTCTTACATCAAATTCTCTTTCTTACTTTAGCAAATATACGACCATTTGTAAACCTGTCAGATCTTAAATAATGATGAATAGCTTAATATTATAAAAATTCTACCTTTGGCTTGTTTAATATTTATCCTGAAAGTGGTACAGCAGAAAATAGATCCACCAATCACAATCACCATTACATACAGCCAAACTTCACCAGGTAAAATTAGGAGTACAAGAGCCAGGGTGAGGTCGATGCATGCTTGGCTGACTGTACTGTACATACACACAAACACATGTACATACATACTAATACACACACACACACACACACACACACACACATAAGGCCGATAAGATATATACATATTATTATTATTGTTGTTTTTTGATGCTTACGTTCACTACGGTGTTGCAGTTCTGGTAGGTCATATTGGTGAGGAGGAGCATGAGCGCCCCATTGATGTTGAATACTCCTAGTTCATCCATCTGTTGGTCCCGGTACAACAAGCCCACCAGGAGAGCCAGCGTCTACAATAAAATAAAATTACTATATTGTTATCTCACTCCCGGTACAGTACCCTGAGCTGTACCGACAGTACCTGGGAGGACACAAAATTACTGTACTGTTATCTCACTCCCGGTACAGTACCCTGAGCTGTACTCACCACAAGCTGTAGGAAGCGAATGCGGATGAGGAAGGGGTCTCTGAGGACCTCCAGCCAGGAGCGCCACAACACCACCCTGAACTGTGTGCCCCATGACGCCTTGTAGGGCGAGGTGTTCTTCTTCGTCGTCGTCGTCGTCTGCTGCTGCTGTTTCCTCTGGTCCTGCACCAATTAAAATTAGAAATGTATGCATCAACTCTTCGTGGGTATTTAGCGTACGGGCGGGCTTATTGCAACTGCGTAAAATAGCTTAGTTCTTGGAGGAAAAGGATTTATTAATACAAAGGCGTGAAAGTGGGTCCCATAGGCTTGTCTGCGTGCTAGGGACAGTGTGGATACAACACATTGTATTGTAGTGTTTTACGGGAGGTTAAACTCCTTCAGAAGCAGTACCTGTGGCTGGTTGGTCATGACGTCCTGGGCCACGGTAATACCATGGTCGCTGGCATCATAATTGTCACAGATCATTGCTATCTTGTGCCGTGACTCCATCACCTTGCTGGGCTCCACTGACAGTTGATCGATGAAGAAGTCCGACGGGTTGTACTGCTCTGGACACCTCAGGTTCAAGCTGAGTGCAAAAACAAGGTGAATGGATATTTTGCGCCTGGGTGTAACAGTGTTATTATATCACTAAGTGGTTGAGGTGATTCTCCAAACATCATTATTGTATAACTTTTGTGGTTGATGTAGAAAATCTCCAAATAAAAAAGTGAACAAGGAAACTTGGTCACCCATAATGCAGTCACTTGGATAATATTCTCTTACTTGTTAAAAAACTTGAGCGCCTCGTCGGTGGTGCCCAGGAAGGCAACTCGGCCCTCAGCCATCAACAGGAGGCGGTCGAACATGGAGTAAATATCTGAGCTGGGTTGGTGGATGGTGGAGATGATGGTCTTACCCCTCTCAGCCATGCTTTTCATCATCGCTATCACGTTTTGGGCCATGAAGGAGTCCAGGCCAGAGGTGGGCTCGTCGCAGAACATAAGGGACGGGTTGGTCAGCACCTGTAGTGAGGGGATGAAGGATAGTGTGTGTCAGAGGTGTTTCCCGAAAGCCCGTATTGGAGACGCGTTTGAGAAAGGTGTGTAAAAATTGTCTCTGGTGTCTCATGTTTAAGCTCTCTCTCTCTCTCTCTCTGATAACCACACAACAAGTGACTAGTGTAGAGATAGACGCACCTCGCACCCAAAGCTGAGCCTCTTCATCTCGCCGCCAGATATACTCTTTTTCGTGCCAGGGACGCCGATGAGGGTGTTCTCACACTTGGTGAGGCCCAACTGTAATACGGGAAGGATTTGTCTTTATTTAATGACAGTATAATACCATTAATAATGCAAGTATAGAATTTATTAACAAGAAGGTTTATCGAATAATTCAAATACTGGATATTATTATAAATGACCACATAGGTGAAGGGGTTCTGCTAGATGCTTACCTCCATTATTACTTGATTCACACGCCTTACTCGTTCCTCGTACGACAAGTACCGGTCCATCCTCAACATAGCCTGGAGACAACAACAACGACACCATCTCAGTAACCATAACAACACACTAACAAGCATTGTCTCTCAGTATAACAACACTATTAAGTAATCACTCGTATATGTGAAGTAAATGTGGATCATGCAAGGTTAGGTGGGAGTTGTGAGGTGTGGCACACGTCAACATCATTAATGGTGAAGATATGATAGTGTCCAAAGGCCTAGTAATTTGTGTGTTGATGGTGGGTGTGTGTGTTGAGGGCAGGTGTGTGTGAGTGTTGAGGGCAGGTATGTATGAGTGTTGAGGGCAGGTGTGTATGAGTGTTGAGGGCAGGTGTATGTGAGTGTTCACCTGAAATGTAAGCTGCTCCCTGACGGTGAGTGAGCCGATGAAGAGGTTGTCTTGTTGAACGTAAGCGGAGCGGCTGGTGATTGCCTCGGGATCAACACGAATACCGTTGATAGAAATATCGCCAGTGACTCGGAGTTTGTCGTTGTTACGGTGAGTGAGGACGTTGAGGAGTGTCGTCTTGCCTGCCCCTGACGCCCCCATAATGGCCAGCAGCTCCCCAGGGCGACAGATTCCCTTCACTGTCACAACAACAAAATCACTGTTTATAAAGATTCCTGCCACTTTTCCAAGGACTTTTCAACATTGACGTCTGATATTTTGCCAGCATGTGTATTTAATGTTGTATTTCAATAGATACATAGATAGATAGAAAGATAGATACATACAAAACAAGATATATATTCACATAATAATAGAATGATATAAATTATAGATACAGGATACAGGAATAAAATATTACTTATTTATCACTCACTTACTTACTTACTTAAACAACAGAATGTGGGTACTATACTAACCATTTTTGAGTATATGGATTACTCTTGGTGTAGTGTCTGTAGAATTACCACGACCCAGGAACCTTGAAGTCTTCGCTTTGCGTCTGAAGAACACATTGACGTTAGACCAGCTGTAGATGATGGGGTCAGGATCATTTACCATTATCAAGGAAGTGTTGCTAGTGCTGGTTGATGGAGATTTACTTTCGTCTACCTGCTGTTATTTTTAAGGGAAGACAAACCTATGATTACTTCAGATAGGTCAATTCATGTCGTAGATTAGAACAAGTTAGATTGATCAGGTAAAATAAACACCTCTACTGTTTAAGAGGTTATTAACTAGGTGACTTCACATCTCAGGTTACCAGATCTTTACCAAGGATGTCACCAACAGACTACAGAAACGCTACTACAAAAATTATAAACTACAGAAACAGGTATAATATAGACCGAATCCTGGACATAAACACGCGAGAGAATTCAAAGGTCTATGTAGAAAGTAATCCAAATTTGTCTTCTTCTGATATACATTAATGCTTTAAGTTATTATTCTGAGGTTAAAGGATGATATTTTACTTTGTTTAATGAAATACTGAATGTAATTTTGCTCGCTGTCTCGTTCTGAAAGTCTGATGATGGTACTGCTGTAAACGACAACCACAGAATTCCGGAAGGTTAGGTTAGATTAGTTTAGGTTATGTTAGGTTACGTGATTCTTTGGTTAGATTAGGTTACGTTAGGTTAGGTAATTCTTTGGTTACTGTAACCTGTAATTTTACCAGTTGCAGTAGTAGCGATTCGTCAATTATTTATATGCATTTCCTTAAAGTATGTCTCCCTAAAGTAACTAACCTTTTAAAGTAACACCCCCGTAAAGTAACACTCCCTTAAAGTAACTATCCTATAATGTAACACTCCCTTAAAGTAACACTCACATAAAGTAACACTCCCTTAAAGTAACTATTATATCAAGTAACTATCCTATAAAGTAACAATCCCTTAAAGTAACACTCCCTTAAAGTAACTATTATATAAAGTAACACACCCTTAAAGTAACTATTATATAAAGTAACTATCCTTTAAAGAAACACTCCCTTAAAGTAACACACCCTTAAAGTAACTATCATATAAAGTAACACTTCCTTAAAGCAACACTCCCTTAAAGTAACACACCCTTAAAGTAACTATCATATAAAGTAACACTTCCTTAAAGCAACACTCCCTTAAAGTAACACACCCTTAAAGTAACTATTCTATAAAGTAACACTCCATTAAAGTATCACTCTCTGAAAGTAACTAACCCTTAAAGTAACACCTCGTAAAGTACCTAACCCTTAAAGTAACACCCCCCCTTAAAAGTAATACCCCGTAAAATTACCTAACCCTTAAGTAAACTTTTATGTTTACCTAACCCATAAAGTAACACCCCCCGTAAAGTAACACCTTAGTAAACTATCCTTTAAAGTAACACTCCATAAAGTAACTATCCTTTAAAGTAACACACCCTTAAAGTAACTATCATATAAAGTAACACTTCCTTAAAGCAACACTCCCTTAAAGTAACACACCCTTAAAGTAACTATCATATAAAGTAACACTTCCTTAAAGCAACACTCCCTTAAAGTAACACACCCTTAAAGTAACTATTCTATAAAGTAACACTCCATTAAAGTAACACTCTCTGAAAGTACCTAACCCTTAAAGTAACACCCCCGTAAAGTAGCACACCCTTAAAGTTACTATCCTTTAAAGTAACACTCCCTTAAAGTAACACCCCCTAAAAGTAACATGCCCTTAAAGTAACACTCCTTTAAATGACTATCTTGGGTCCCACTTTAAACTTACCTTCTCTAACATTTTTGGCTTCATCGTGGATTGTGGCGTATAGACGTTGCCGGAATAGTACACACTCTTGATTCTTAGCAGATCTGACAACACTTGGGCCATAAGAACACCTTAACCATGGCTCACACCAACCAGAAAGCTGTGTGGTAGTCTGATTTTGTTTCTCTTTCTCTCTCTCTTTCTTTCTAGCTTTCTTTTTTTCTTTCTTTCGTTTTGTTGGAAGTTTTACTGAATGTGGGATATACTGTTTGTTCACTTCACTGGTACAGGAGATGTGTATTCTTTACGGCTTCAAGGGGAAATATATATATGTGTGTGTGTTTTGTAAGGTGCCTTTGGAGGTAGGGTTGGGAGATGTGTATAAATTACTTCCACTGTAAGACTCGTAAGAGCAGGGAGTAACGATCGCTGACTCCGCCTCCCACCCAAGTGTTAGATAAATTGGCTCCTCCCATCCCCCCACCACCCCCGACCACCAACTCCTCCGTCCTTGCCCGGCCAACTATAATTTGCCCACTTCCTACCCTCCCCATCACCCTTCTTACCATCTGACATTCTCCCTTTACACCCCCTTCCCTAACCAGACCAGACCAGACTAGACCAGACCAGACCTGACCTACCCTAACCTACCCTAACCTACCCTAACCCAACCCAACCTAACGTAACGTAACCTAACCGTTGAGTAGTATCAGTGTACCATAATGACGATAATGGTAGTAGATGCTTTGTTAATGGTATTGGTGGCTATGATAACTATAGAGTCTGTAGTGGTTGATATGTTAATGGTAGTTATAGTATAATCTTGCTGCCATGAGGACACGCTCCCTAGTTCGTGGAAGGAATTGGCTTTGGATGGACCGTCTGTTGTTTTATTGACATTTAGAGAAGTTTACTCAAAAAAGATCTTGGCTCCCTATCTGTTGTCCATTAATAAAATAAGCGGAGTCGAGCACCAATCACAGTAGAGGAGTGTGAGGAGGGGGGGGGGAGAGGGTGCAAACAGGTTTACAAGACCCTGAACAGCCTTACTACTTCCCTACATTCAGGCATGCTAGTGACGGGAGGCGGGGGAGGCGGGTCGGGCCGGGGCGGGGGAACAGGTTCGTGGAGAGAAGTTTTTGTTCAGCAAGCTAGTCGTTAAGTACATATGGGACTTTCTACTTAACGCTCTCGGGCTCCTGGGAACGTATTACCCCCAGGAGATACTATTGCAGAACCCGTTCCTAGCCATATGTACGCTCTGTTTGGGAATGGCGTGTTAAGAAGTTGTTAAGTAAGAATACAAATATTGACTTTGTAGATCACAGGGAAGGTCTCTCTCCTTTGAGGTAAAATTACTTATTTGAGTCAAACATTTTATCCCGTTCTTGTTCATTTGTTGTATAAATTCTGCTGAAGCTGATCAACGCCACAAGCTTTATCGTGTTGCTCACAGCTGCCTCAACTTGTGTTCCATAATTGGTAGTTTAATCTTTATTTCCTTTTCGTTTCTTCCCTCTCCTCTACCCTTATAGTTCTTCTACTTTCTCTGTCCGTCTCTCTTTTACTTCTTCTGCCTCAAACAGGATCTTATTGTCTCTGCCTTTAATAGTTCCACCTCATTTATTTCCTCTTTTGTTTAATCATCCATCATCATCTTCCATCTCCTTGCATTTCCTTTCTATATCATCTTTCTTGGACTGTCTACATTCCCTTTGAATTTCCTTGGTAATTTTTACGTAACTCTTACTTCGTTTTCTCATATTTCTTCGGCATTCTGAGTTTTTTCTTTTATCATTCACTCACGTTTAGCTTCGTTTCTCCTATGTCCTATACGTTTACTTTAGTCTTTAACATATTTCTTTATATTTATTCAATTGTTGCCATGTTATAAGCTTACCTAAGTCTCACTTGATGTTGTCCGTAGTTTATAAATGTTGAAGTCTTAGCCTCACTAAACTCAGTACTGGGACGCGGTCTGACCCACAATCAACCCCCTGATAGGTCTTGGCTCGGGTTAATTCCTACATTAATATAAGCTCTATTTGATCCCTGACTACGTTGTCCTGGGGTGAGACCCGTGTATAGAGATGCCTAGGGTGTTGTTCTAACCATCTTCAGTATTTATCATCTTGTTTTCCTTACATAAATCATAAATCAATTAATATTTCTCCTCTATTACCCAGGTCATGTAGTCCTACTCCAGGTGCTACTTTACCTTCCCCAACCTTGGCCTTAAAATAATCCATTATCATCACATATTCATTAAACTCCACAGTGTCTTTGGTTTTCTTTTAATATTTATAAACAATTCCTGAGACTTCATCTTCACTATCATTTGTTGGTACATAAACCTGTATTATCACCAAGTCTTCGGGTTTAGCTTTAAACTTGACCACCATAACACTATCTCACACTGTCCGGTATCCCTTTATACTGCTCAACTTCTGGTTCACAACAACACCTCTCTAATGTTGTTCACCACCTGGTTAAAGTTAGGTTAGGTTAGGTTAGAACATTGCTTAGTTATATAATAATAATAATAATAATAATAATAATAATAATTAACGGTTTATTGAAAAAGTTCTGCAGCCCGAAGGCTGAAAATATACATTGGGCATAAATGACTTATTACATACATTGGTTGTTTAACAAAAGCCTTCATTAGAGAAAGGTAAAGGAACATACAGTGAACATACAGATTAATGTAGGTGTTGAACAGCAAACACATAATGTAGTAACTCCCTCCCAGATGGTGTTAGGAGGGACCTCACGTGGTGTAGTAATTCCCTCACATATGGTGTTATGAGGGACTACGTGGTGTAGTAATTCACTCACAGATGGTGTTATGAGGGGCCTGACGTGGTGTAGTAATTACCTCACAGATGGTGTTATGAGGGACCTCACGTTGTGTAGTAATTACCTCACAGATGGTGTTATGTGGGGCCTCACGTGGTGTAGTAATTCCCTCACAGAGAGTGTTATGAGGGGCCTCACGTGGTGTTGTAATTCCCTCACAGATGGTGTTATGAGGGGCCTCACGTGGTGTAGTAATTCCCTCACAGAGAGTGTTATGAGGGACCTCACGTGGTGTATGAATTCCCTCACAGATGGTGTTATGAGGGACCTCACGTGGTGTAGTAATTCCCTCACAGATGGTGTTATGAGGGACTTGACGTGGTGTAGTAATTCCCTCACAGATGGTGTTATATGAGTGAGGTGTGGTCCCAGGCCTTCCTATCGTAGACGGATTAACACATCGCTGGCTGTTGTTGGGTCTCACGAGCCGTTATCACTGGGTACCTGGGACCTCACTGTGTGATAACATAGAGTTAATCATCACTGCTGAGCACTGTTCACACCTGCTTTAACACTGGTTCCATTCCTTCTAAATGAAATTGTAAATCATGAATTATCCTGTGAGAGGTTCTGTAAGGCTATATAACTCAGATCACCTGAATAAACAACTTTAAACAATTGACTGGGCTGGGGGGCGATTTTCAGGTGTTTCGATCTCGCATTCACTGTGTGTGTGTTTAATAATAATAATAATGAATGTGATGATGATGATTGATGATGATGATGATGATGATGATGATGATACAGTCGTGTAAGGAAAGATCGCTGTAAGTTTAGGTGAAAGAATTTATGCCAAGGTCCAATAAACCCTCCCAAAACACAGCTTCCCTCCATAAGCCAAGAAGGACTGTCAAATCTTTATCACCTTCATATATATCCCCTTCACTTTAATGACAGATATAAATGTATAATACATCTTTAATCTTAGCCTAACCATACCAACCATACGGTATAGCACCAACTCAACATTCCACAGCATCTGGCATATCTCTTTAACCTGTTAACACCAACCTAAGAAACCCACGATATGTATATTTTCTCCCGTCTACCCTATTGCCAGACGAACTAACACCTGTTTTGCCTCTGGTGTCACTTTGTTTCAATATTACCAATGAGTTTCATGTCATTATTACCAGACTCAAGTTCGTCGGTCTTCTGCTTGAGTTGGCGAACCTTCTACGGCTGTTCTGGCATATGTATCTAACCCATACTCTTGGTTTGTAGATATTAAACGTATTATCTAGGTCTCTGAAGAACAAACAGAGAGAGATCAGCTCATCTCACCGTTCGTTCCTTAAGGTTTAAACTCTCACGCCAGGCCATTTCAGTCTGTCTAAAAAGCCTGAAAACCGGAGGCTCATTAAGACACGTTCTGCAGGTCTCTCTCTCTCTCTCTCTCTCTCTCTCTCTCTCTCTCTCTCTCTCTCTCTCTCTCTCTCCAGGCACAGAGATAAAGGGAAGAAGAGAGAGAGAGAGAGAGAGAGAGAGAGTTCAGACAGTACATTTTTTGAAACTGTATTTTTGTCGTGTTATGATTATTTGACTAAAATTTATTGCCCCAAATTCTAATCCTTACAGCTGGACACTTGCCAACACCGTGAGGAACTATTTGGTTAGCGTTGAGACTTGAGAGATGAACGTAAGATGGAGTCATGTTTAGCAGAGTCCGTAGTAACAACCATAAACGAGGTATTGTGGAGTGAAATGGCGTTGTTAAGGGGTGGGTGATAGTTCTTGTTAGTTTGTTATTTTTCTCAGCGACTAAGGTGTTTCAGTGCGTGGTCAGCGACTAAGGTGTTTCAGTGCGTGGTCTGGTTTAGTACATTCAGTACTCATCAAGTATAACCAAATATATATTGCGTCGAAAAAAAAGAAACACTAATTATAAAAAGTTTCCAGAATCAGGTTTTAAGAATATTTACTGTGGCCAGGTGAGTCTTCAAGGACGACGATCCTACCTATTTTGACCTATTTCCACCCTAAGTTGTCCTGTGCCAGATAACTATAACAAATTACCCCACACAGCAATTCACCAGCGCCGAAAACTAGTTTCACCTGCACTAAGGTGACACAATTCCCTGGTGGCAGGAATCTACACTGAAATCAACCTGCCAGTGTTGTTTTCCGTTCCCTGATTCACTTGTTTAGTTCAGGCAGCTGGGTGGTGTGTCGTATTCCAGGTCAGGCAGCGCTGGGTGGTGTTATTCACTTGTTTAGTTCAGGCAGCTGGGTGGTGTTATACATTGTTCAGGTCAGGCAGCTGGGTGGTGTT